TTTTTTATTTTTTAATATTTTAATTGTCAATTTACCACTCTGCCCATTCGAAAATTGTCAAAATTGGTCAAACTTTACTATTCTTGGTTGACTAACGGTCAAACGGACGGAATCCGTCCATTTGGACCTCTGCTGCATATTTTTGAAAGGTTTGGGACTGTGGCTGGCACAAATCAAATGTTAAGGTAAAGTGCGCAAAAATTTGAAAGGTTTGGGACCGTTGCTGCAATTATCCCTTTTTTTATTTAGAGCTTGTTTAGGATGAATTAAAATTCAATTAAAATTGAAAATATAACCGTTATTAGGTCTCATTCGTCTAATAAAAGTCTAATAATAATGGTTAATTTTTCAATTTTAATCCGATTTTAATATCTACCAAACAAGCTCGTGATAAATGAAAAATTACTCTTTTGCCCCTTTTTAAAATATTAAAAATGTGATCAAAATTAATTTTTGGTAAACTGACAGAATTATGGAAGGAAACTATCTAAAAGGTCTTCATCTACAACATTTGGAAATATTAGGGGTGACGGCTGCAACAATTAAATGTTTAGGAAAAGTCTGCTAATATTTCAAAACTTCAGGGATTTTGCTGCAGTTATCCATTTTGAAATGTACAAAAGTAGGTCAACATTCTGCCAAGAAAGGTAAGAACTTGTTTTCATTTCAAACTTGATTGGGAGAATGTGTGATTGATAAAGGGAGAGAGAAAAATGAATTAAAAGTTAATGGTGGCCAAACATGATTTTATATTCTAGAAATTAGAATGTTTATAACATGTTGAATAATTTAATCCTAAAGAAACCCAGGTATGTATTTGAAAGCTTTGAAGGGGATTTTGGGATGGGTTATTAGCACAAAATATCATTACACATAGAGTTCATTGTGCAAAATATTTGAACATTTTTTATTTTTTTACATTTTTACCCCTATTTCAACTTTTCATTGATGAAATCATCAATTTCTCAATAAAGATTTGTGAAATAACGAGTATACCCTCTTATTTAAAAAAAGAGAGAACAAGAGGAAAATAAAGAACTAATTCAACAGCACACCCAAAAAAATAAAATATTTAAAAATTAAAAATAAAATAAAATCTCTTTTCTTTCTCTTCTTCTTCTTCTTCATCCTCCTCCTCCTTCTCTTTCTCCTTCTCCTCTGCCCCCACCGCCACCAACGCCACCACAACCAAATTGTGGTAATTTTTTTTTCTCATTACATATGCACACCCTTAACGAATCTTGCAGACATACGATCATGGCGTGACTGTTGTTCTTGAAAGCATCTTCGGCTTCGATTCTCGCTTTCCCTAAATTATCTTTTG